AAGTGACTGATAAGAAATGAAAACCTCATCATGCGGAAATCCGCAACACCGCTTACATCCACTATGCGATTGATATGATCCAGGTATCAGGCTCCCAGTAAATCGCACACAACTCACTCCTGGGCTTTATCATTATTGACATCATGTACGGCCGCTAAAGCAAATGGAGTTCAGAAGCATGGCGGTTGTTTACTCAGTTGGCATGAACTGCAGCAACTGGCTTTATCACTATCGACTATCTTTCATCAACAATCTGACCAGGAAAGGTCAACAGGTCGCCATGGCCATTCAAGATGGGATGCATATTGCCGTGTGCGTCTCGGGCACTGAACTCAAATCTGGTTTCAGAATTTGCTGAACGATTCTCTAGGAGGAGTTAGGGGGGTCGTTCTAGCATAGCACTCGCCGATCCTCCTTTGCGCAGCTCAAGTTAAGTTTGAAGGCATGCTGTGTCAAGTTGTCGATGGTGCAGTGGATAGGTAAGTTGCGTCATATATGGGAGGTCATGGGTTCGGTTCCTTGACAAGTTCGCATTTTTTTTTTCGGAACATCTTCTGTGAGTTCAGAAAATACTTCTATCCGTTATTTTGTCAAGCTTGCTCTTACTTGCAGCAGGAAAAGACTTAAAAGCCGGCAATTGTGCTTCGCTTTCAAGACTTTTAGGCAGTGTTTACCCTTTACTGCAATCACCCGAGATCAAGCCAGTTTCAGACCGACTTTCTTCTTCGTGCGCAGAATTGCCTGAAAGTTGCCTACTAGGGTAGTCTGCCCTTCCAAACATGATTATCACATCCGCTCGGCACGAAACCTCCTAGCACCCGTGCCACAGGCGCCAGCGCAAAAATACCCTAAATCAACAAGTTCGTTGAAAACTTGTCAACTGGGTAGTTTGACCTCCTATACTCGAATGCTCGAATGCTATGATACTGTGCAATGCTATAATACTCGAAATCACCAAAATCACTGAATTTTTCAAGTGGAGCAGATTGACCTCCTAAATCACATCTGTGTGGGGCGCCTGAGAATGTTTGGGATAGAGAAAAAGGGGTAATGTGATTACGCAACCGCCTGCACCCCTCCCCTGAGAAGGGGCACTTTCTCTGCTAAGGCTGAGCCTTAGCAAAGGGAAGGATTTCTATGATAGGCAATCAGGAAGAGTGATGCGCCACTTTGGCCAGTTTGCCCAACTGCCCTAACAAAGAGCCCCGCACGAAAGCGACTGGAGTCTGTGCTACACGCGATGGAGTCGGAACAAGCATGTGATGGGTCGCTTGTGGCGTATGCGTCAGGCGGTTTCCAAGTGTACGGATATGATACCCATGTTTAGCGGGTCAAACTACCCCAGTTGACAAGTTTTCAACGAACTTGTTGATTTAGGGTATTTTTGCGCTGGCGCCTGTGGCACGGGTGCTAGGAGGTTTCGTGCCGAGCGGATGTGATAATCATGTTTGGGAAGGCAGACTACCCTAGTAGGCAACTTTCAGGCAATTCTGCGCACGAAGAAGAAAGTCGGTCTGAAACTGGCTTGATCTCGGGTGATTGCAGTAAAGGGTAAACACTGCCTAAAAGTCTTGAAAGCGAAGCACAATTGCCGGCACTTAAGTCTTTTCCTGCTGCAAGTAAGAGCAAGCTTGACAAAATAACGGATAGAAGTATTCTCTGAACTCACAGAAGATGTTCCGAAAAAATGCAAAAATGCGAACTTGTCAAGGAACCGAACCCATGACCTCCCATATATGACGCAACTTACCTATCCACTGCACCATCGACAACTTGACACAGCATGCCTTCAAACTTAACTTGAGCTGCGCAAAGGAGGATCGGCGAGTGCTATGCTAGAACGACCCCCCCTAACTCCTCCTAGAGAATCGTTCAGCAAATTCTGAAACCAGATTTGAGTTCAGTGCCCCGAGACGCACACGGCAATATGCATCCCATCTGAATGGCCATGGCGACCTGTTGACCTTTCCTGGTGAGAGAGGACCATTCGATGCGTTAAACTGCCCGAATGCGGGAGTGCATTCCAGAAAAGGAAACCTGCAGTAGTGGGGAACGCATCAAGCGGTAGGAAGTTCAAAGGCTGCTCTAACAGGTTGCTGTATTTTCGTGTGAGGGTTAGGAGATTTTTGGTAAGTCCGAGAAAAGAGTGGACCAAAGGATAGATTTCAGCGCTACATTGGGACAACGGTTACAATCCTACCATATAATCGGCTATGTCCGTGCGTGTGCGTCTAACTCTTTGACACGAATATCATAGCGCCGGTTCAACTTCAACTTCGACTCGCTGATCCAACTTTAACCCATTGCTCGAGCTATTTTCAACTATTTTTCTACATTTTGCTGGAAAATGAACTGTGACGGTTTGGCGTATTTTGCACACTCTACCTCGCCTAAAGAAAGAGTGCCTGGCGAAGCCAGGCCGGCCCGGCGAAGCCGGGCCGTGATAAAGAAGGAGGAGCACCCGGCGGTAGCCGGGTGATCCGACTGGTTGTTACTATAGCACCCTAATCAAGTCAGGAGTTGTCAAAGGCTGTTAGGAATGGTGTGGTGACGCGGAAAAATGTCGCGTCCGTGTACATCACCGCATAGATAGCGGTGTAATCCTGTTATATGTAATCCGCTAAGTTTGTTGGTGTGTGTGAATGTATGTTTGTGTGTCTGTATGTGTGTTTGACCGGAAATTCATAACTTCCTTCAAAAGAGCGATAGAGCCCTCAAACTGATAAGTAATGTAGGGGGTCGTGCACGAACATTATTGGTCGGTGGCAGGGAGTGATAACAGTTGATAAGATACCATAAGGAGCCTTAGAAGGTAAGGGTCACCAAATTCACAACGCGCGTCACAGCAGCGGTAGAGCGTTGGTTCCAAGAAGTAAGGTAGAGGACAGGATGGGAACATTATTGGTCGGTGGCAGGAAGTGATAACAGCCGATAAGATACCATAAGGATCCTTAGAAGGTATGGGTCACCAAATTCACAACGCGCGTCACAGCAGCGGTAGAGCGTTGGTTCCAAGAAGTAAGTAGAGGGCAGAATTGGGGACATGGTTGGCAGGAAGTGATATCCGATAAGATACCATAAGGAGCCTTAGAAAAGGAAAGTTCAGCAAGCATCATAACGCGCGTCACAGCAGCGGTAGAACGTTGGTTCTAAAAAGTAAGGTAGAGGACAGGATGGGGACATTTTCGGTGGGTGGCAGGAAGTGATAACAGCTGATAAGGTACCATAAGGAGCCTTAGAAAGGGATGGTCACTAACACCATAGTGCGCGTCACAGCGACAGGACCTGATAACAGCCGATAAAGTATCATAGGGGGCCCGCTTCAGGAAGGCCTCAAAATTCAATGCAAGAGTCGGAGCAACAAGGGGGAGCTGCACCTTTACTATGCCCGCTAAATTTTAGTACCACCCAGAAATAAAAGCCTAAAATTGTTTGCCAGTGAGGAATGATAAGAGTCGCCAATAGACCGATATGTGAAAGCTGCTCACGGAAGAATTAGGATGTTAGAACACTTCACTATGATTTCGATATTGTTACCATTGAAACTCTTTCAACCGCTAAGTTGCCTCATTTCCAACGAATGGTGAGTGTTGGCAAATGTTCATTAAAGAGGAGAATTATGATGAAATGGGCCGTGTTTTGAAGCATGGGAAAAAGGCGAAGTTTTAGGGGCCACCACAAAAATTCTGCCATTGTTCAGTACCATAGGTTCAACAATTCGCGCAGTAAGGCGCGTCAGCTGAACTGGTTCTTTATAACACAGATTCGTTACTTCCATTTCATCCTATACCAGTTTGGTTGATGCACACTACTGTGCGTCCTGCTGAGGTACTGATTACTGGTAGGACTTCTGTGGTGACCAATAACACTTAGCCTGATTCCACTTTTCGAAATAGGGCCCATCACTCTATTCTGTAAAGCAGAAGTTTTGTGTGTCGGTTTGTCGGTCTGTAGGTATGTATGTAAGGTATGTATGTATGTATGTTTGTTGTTTGTTTGTTTGTCCGTCCGCAAAATGCTTGACGGGATTCATCATGTAACAGAAAAGAGAAAACGACCGCTAGCCAAAAAATCAAATCCAAAAAGCTTTCGGTGGTATCATCCAGTGTTTTGATTGCGATAACTCCGCTATATAAGACAACCACTTAGTGCACTCCGAGCCATTGCACGGGCTGCTCGCGTGGCAGCTGGACGTGAGCACCTGCAGTAGGACAGGGTAGGGAAGGGCAGGGGTTAGGGGGCACAGGGAATAGGGTAGGGCGAGGTGGGGCGAGAAACGGGTAGTTCGAGGGAAGCGAGGTTAATGGGCTGCTAGCGTGGCAGCTAGATCTGAGTGCAGTGGGGCAGGGTAGGGAAGGGCAGGGAAATAAGGTAGGGCGAGGGGGTGAGGTTAAAGCGAAGGTAGGGAGGGGGGAATGTAGAATGCGATTCAACAGTAGCACACCACAACGATGGAAACAGAAGCATTAGTGAAAGCGACAAATATAATAGAAGAAACAAAGGATCAACCGCTAGCAAAAACTGCAAGGCAGTCCATAATGTGCTCTCAATTTTGATATTTTGAATGTTATAACACCCCGCACGGTATAAGGCAACCATTTGGTGTGTTCCGAGCCGTTGGATGTGCTGCTCGCGTGGCAGCTA